GGAAAAAAAAATTTTTGAGTTTATTTGTGTAAGTATGATGAATCTTTGTAACTTAATCAACTCATATCTATTAGGTGCCTATCAGGTATTTCATATTCTTAAAGTGTAATGAATTCTACTATTGAACCAGGTAATTTGTTTTATAAATACTTTATTATAGATCGATATTTTATTATTAAAAATAAAAAAATAGTGAAAAAGTATTTTAAACTTAATTGCTTGGTATAGTACTTAGGTGCCACATAAAAAACTAGTAGAACTTCTGTCTGTACAAGAAATTGAGTGCTGATGAAATATCTAATACTATTGTAGTACTTTCACACTAAAACAGCAAAGTTGAATTGTTGTGACATGGCTTACAAAACCTAAAGTATTTTCTAATTCATTCTTAGTAGAAAAAGCTCCAGAGAAAGTCAAATACAGTGTTTGAAAGTAAATTTTATTTCAAATCTGTGTACCTTTTCCCTTCCTTCCCTACCTCTCTCTTTTCCTCTGTGTAGTGGCCAGGACTTCATTGGATATTGACTAGGAATGATGATAATGAACTTCCCTTTTTTATTCTCAGGAGAAAAACACTCACTCTGTCAGCATTAAGTATAATGTTATAGGGGCTAGGGATATAGCTCAGTAGCACAGCGCCTGCCTGGCAAGCACAAGGTCCTGAGTTTGATTCCCGGTAACAAAGTATAATGTTGTAGGGTTTTCACAGAGAACATTTATCAGGGTAAGAAGTTTCCTTATATTCCCAGTTTACTAGGCTTTTAATATGAATGAATGCTGAATTTCCTAAATGTCTTTTCTGAATCAGTTGATATGGTAATGTGATTTTTGTTTTTCTACTCTGTTAATATGGTGAATTATGTTGTTCTTTCATCAATATTGAACCAGCTTTGCATTCCCTAAATAAACCTGCTTGTAATATTTTATACATATATACATAATTTGTAATTTGGATTACATATGTGTTTGTAATACATGTGAATATGTTTAAGTTGAAATTTTATATATATGGATTGGATTTTTCATACATATTAGCTGAGTCTATAAAGATCTTATTTATTTATTTATTTTCTTTTTGAGACAGGGTCTCATTATGCAGTTCATGCTGGCCTTGAGCTCACTTTGTAGCTCATGCTGGTCTTGAACTTGAAATGATCCCCTGCCTCAGCCTCCTGAGTGCTGGGATTACAGATGTGTGCAACCATGCCCTGCAAGATCTTATTTTAAAGAAATTTGTCTATGTTTGTGAAGGATATTAGTCTGTGATTTTCTTTTCTTCCCTTCTTTAGTTTTTATATCAGGGAAATGATGTCTATGCAACAAGTTGATAACATTTATTTTCTGAAAAATTTTTAAGCATTAGTGTTATTTCTTATTAATTCTATCTTATTTACTTCTTTCATTGCTAGAACAAAATACCTGACACCCGAGGGCTGGGGATTTAGCTCAGTGGCAAAGCACCTGCCTGGCAAGCGCAAGGTCGTGAGTTCGGTTCCCAGTACTGGAGAAAAACCAAAAACCAAACCAAAACAAAACAAAAAACAAAATACCTGATACCCAAAGTTAAAGGAGTAAAGATTTATATCAACTTACAGTTTGTAGAAGTTTTGGTTCATAGTTGTGTGGCTCCAGGCAGGGTGGCAGGGCAGAGAGGGCTGTCACAGAGAAGCAGTCCATGGCAGAGCAGGGCAGGGAGAAGGCAAGAGGCAGCAACCTCTTTTCTGTCCCTTGTCCAGGCTACTCACCCTTAGTCCTAGCATTGCATCCTTGATCTTAGCATCATACACCTTAGAAGCAGCCACCTCTTAAAAGCCCCACCTATGACTTGATGAGACTTTAGGGGACAACTAGATACAAGTCATAATACCTTTATCATGTGTTTTTAAAAATTAATTGTTGGAACCATTTGGTCTTGGTCTTAAGTTTTCATGTTCAGAAGGATTTGAGTTACAAATTTAATTTTATTTACTAGATATGGGTTATTTCAGGTTGTCTGTTTCTTCTTGGGTAAATGTCAATAGTTACTGGCTTTTATAGAATTAGTTTATTAAATGTGAGTAGACCAGTTGAGATCTGTAGTGCTGTCGGCAATATTTATTATCCTTTTTGATGTTTGTTGCATCTGTGATGATACACAACAATATTGATAATTTATGTCTTTTTTGTCAGTTTAGCTGGAGGTTTACTAATTTACTATTTTTTTTCAAAGAATTATCTTTTGATCTCCTTCATTTAGAAAGTTCTTTCTCTAATTTTATGTCTGCTTTTACCTTAGTTCCTTCCTTCTGCTTGCTTTGGACTACATTGTTCTTTTATTCCTAGTTTCTTAAGGTGAAAGGTGAGATTATTGATTTTTGATTGCTTCTTTTGTAATATACGAACTTAGAACAACCTGACTGTATACACTATGGTTGTATTCCTCTACTTTTGATTTGTTGTATTTCCTCTTTTGTTCAGAAGACCTTCTAAATTGGCTTTTCTATTCATGAATTATTTATAGCTATGTTATTTTATTTACAAGTACTAGAAACTTTTTCAAATACATATCTTGTTGATTTCCAATTTAATTGTATTCTGCTCACTGAATACAATCTAATTTCAATTTTTGAAGCTTTCTTTTGTAGTTCAAGAAATGATTTGTTTTGATGAATCCTTTGTGTGCAGTGTAAATGTGTGTTTGTAGCTGTTGTTGGGCATTGTGGTGTGGAGTGGTGTTTAAGGATCAGGTCTCATTTCTTTTCTTTTTTTTTTTTTTTTTTTTTTTTTTTTTTTTTTTTTTTTTTCCGGTACCGGGAACCGAACTCACGACCTTGCGCTTGCCAGGCAGGCACTTTTGCCGCTGAGCTAAATCCCCAGCCCCAGGTCTCATTTCTTTAGTATGCTTGATGGATTCTTGTGTACTTTTTCTGTTGATTACTGCAAGAGATATATTGGTGTCTACAACAGTAAATGTGGATTTGTCAACATCTTTTTATTTATGTCAGTTTTTGCTTTATATATTTGAGACTTTCTTGCTAGGTGCATAAATGTATGGGATTCTTACATATTCTTGTTAAATTGATCCTTTTAACATTATGTAAAGTCCTTCATCCCTAATGATTTTTTAAGTGATTAGTTAAGTCTTTGTTGTCTTACATTAATGCAGTTTCTTCTTTGACTTTCCTTTGATAAGTGTTTTCATGGTATATCTTTCCTCATTTTACTTTAACATGCTGATATTATTATATTTTAAATGCATTTTCTTTGGAGACAGAATGTACTTATATTTTATTTTTTAAATAATCTAATAATCCATCTTTTAACTGATATGTTTAGGCTATATTTTATAAGATTATCATTATGTTTCAGTTTAGGGCTACAATTTTATTGTTTTCTGCTTTTCATTAATTTGTTTTCGTCTTTCCTGCTGTGTTTAGGATTATTTCAAAAATTTGCAAGTATTTCATTTTTAGTGTATTCACATGATTCTTTTAGTGATTATGGAGTGAGCTCTTTCATCTCAGGGCAGAGTAAAAATGCAGTGAAAATTTGGTTGGTTTAAACTTAATTTAAACTTTTCATGGCCCTCCTTATCTCTATTTTATGAGCAGTAGGCAATTTTAACTTTCATTATTTGAAATTGTTTTGAAGGGTACTTGAAATTTGATTAGGGTTCAGAATTCTTGAAAACAGTAAATAATAATTAAAATAATTATATTTTTGTATTTTAAATGTATTACAATGCAGATAGACATTAGAGATTTTGTTTTTCTATATGCTTACATTTTTATTTTGTGTCCTTTATAGATCCTGGTATGGTGCTGAAAAAATAAATTAGTTTCAGGCACTTTGGTGAATATCAAAAGTATTATAATATCTAATTTTAACAATCTGGAGGAGATTATTTCCATTTCATTGGGACAGATTCTGTGACTGCATAGTAATTTATCCAGTGTGGCACATCTGCTTAGTAGTGAAATTTGCATTCAAATTCAAATCTTTTTGACTCCCAAATTCATATGTTTTATCATTATTCCAGTCATTCATTCCACATGCATTTACTGTATATCATGGATCACTTTTTTTTTATATTAATGGAGTCCTTGCCCTTATGACTCTTACTGGCTTGTCAATGAGAACAATGTTAAACAGGTAAATATAAAAAGAAATGTATAATAACATTATGGTAAGTGCAATAATGGCAAAGGACCGGGCTTGATAAAACCACAGGGAACTTAGTTTAGATTGGGAAGGAGGTGTTTGGCAACCTCTTTGTTTAAGTTACATTTGAGGTAAGTATCTATGGTACATGGGAGTTAGTAAAGCCTTTGAGAAAAACTATTAGGAGGGGAAAAAAGACAGTCCAGTGCCTGGAGTTGGGAAAGAGTTTAAAGGGTTTAAGGTGCTGAAACAAGGCCAGAGTGACTACAATTTAGTGACAAACTTTGGGTGTGAGATGAAGTTGGAGAAAGAGGCAGTGCCAATTTGTCTAGGGCAGTGATGGCAAACATTTTAGAGCTCTCAGCATGCTGTACATTTGCCACCGCTAGTCTAGGGCTTTGTTGGGCATGCTAAGCTGAGTTAATTGATAGTTGCCTTTATTTTCCTTCCTGAAATAAATGACTGTTTAAAGTGCAGACTGTTCATAAGGCAAACACTACCTACTTCTACGAATTAATTGCTGATACTTCTACCTGAGTGTGTTAGCTCTAATTATCAAACATCACTTGCTTAGCTGTCCCACAGCTTGTGCTATCTCAAGTTTTTCTGATTAAAGGAAATTTCATTCTCTCAAAATGGTTAATATGTTTCTTTACATTGGTTAAAATAATGCTGGAAAAACCTTGCATTTAGATTATCATGTGAAGAACAATACACTTTAAAAAGTTTCTCGACTTTAGAATGCTATAGATAAATATGACATGTTACTTTTAATTTTAGGTCTTTTTAATAAACCAGTGAAGCACTTAGTATTTCCTTCTAATTGCCAATATTAAAATATATGGTTATACCTTTCACAGTCTGAAGGAAAAGGCCATGCCAATGCTGGAGATGCAATATATGAGGTGGTGAGTCTACAGCGAGAGTCTGACAAAGAGGAACCAGTCACTCCTACTAGTGGAGGGGGTCCAATGTCACCCCAAGAGGATGAAGCAGAAGAAGGTAAGAAGTTGAGCTTCTTTGGTTGCCTCTGTTTCACTAGCTGCTTTATTTATAATCTTCAAAGGTAGGAGTGTATGTGTGTGTGCATGTGTATATGTGTGTGTGCATGTGTGCGTGTTTGCACTGGAAGGGAAGGAGTGATATTTTTCCTCGTCTGCCACTCTTTGGAGCTAGATTATGCTACATGCAAGAAGAAAATTTAATTCATTAAATTCCTTGGTTGGATAGTCCCCAGTGCCACTTCTGCAGCTGTTTATATTTAATAGCATCACGTTGCTGGTTTGCCTCCTATTTTATTTCAAGTACTTTGGAAGTATTCAGAGAGAACTGTCAAATTCTCTCAAGGGTTTCTAGAATTTCAGTGATAAGCCACATTCTACTGATACAGGGGAAAGAAACTTCCAACCTGAAAGATATCTGGGATGAGTTTGTGTTCTCTAAAATTGAAGAATGAATTTTAGGAACAATGGAGGTTAAGAGCAGAATGCATTTATTGAAGGAAAGAAAGCTTCTGTCAGAGAGAGGGACAGAAGGGGGCCCCAGTGGGTTGCCAAGGACCTTGCCCTTCCCAGGGATTTTATAGAGCAAAATCACGAGGTGAGGTGGGTCCAAGGTAGGGGATAAATGGGAAATTGCAAGGTGGGCATGAGGTGGGACAAAACTGAGATCAGCCAATAATATTACAAGTATAATTGTTCAGGTAAAATTGATTAAATTGGGATCAAATGGCATGAATACTGACCGGGGGCCTTTCCTATAGGAGGTTGGGTTAGTGACTCTTCCTGGCTTTTTTAAGGTGATTGCTACCTGTTTAGAATATCAATCCCTGAGGTCCATCCCTAGGGAAGTATGTGGGTGGATCTGTTTAATCTTTTGTCTTGAGGTCTGGCCCACAGCAGAAGTGTCCCTCTATCCATTTGTAAGGTATCCCATCTTCTGCACTGGCTCCATCAAGGGCCTGGCCCTGTCTGACTGCCTATAATATTTCTGTCTAACTTAGCTGCCTATAAGGCTACTTTATATTTGATGTTATTCAATACTTACTTACTTTTTTCTTGTTGCTGTATCCCGTACCACTCACTTTTTTGGAGTAACGTATTCTGTTTACTACATGGATGCGGCTGAGAGATGTTAACCAACCTCACAAGAGTCACCTCTCGTTAGGCTTTGTGCTAAGTACTCTTTAAAGAAGCTAGAGCTAAATGATACAGCTGTACTTTTAAAACCTTTATTATCTTCTTCTGGTATAGGGTTTATTAAATCTCTGAGTTCTTATCATCATTGCCTTAGAATTCTCAGTCTGTATATGTAACAGCTTCCTTGTTTTTGATTACCATAAAAACAATAGTAATTTTTGGCTTATATTTACTGTTTACTGTCTGTGAGGCATCATTCTGTTTCAAATGTGTTAACGTTTATTTATTGCAATCCTGTGAGTACTCTTACTAACTTGGTTTTAGGGATGAAAAACTGAGGCACAGAGAACGTATGTCACTTGCTTGTGTTGCTCAGCTATGTATACAAAGTTGAGATCTGAACCCAGGCGTCTGATTCTGACATTTGCATTTACCATTGCCATGTTATTCTACCAAGATAGCCAAACTGCTAAAACATATAAGCAGCTTACATGTTAAAACTAAGGTAAAACTTATATACCATAAAATTAAGAGTGTACCATTGTACACACCATTTAAGAGTGTACAGTCAGTAGCATTTAGTACATTCTGAATGTTGGGAAACTATCACCTCTACTAGTTTCAAAACATTTTTACTATCCTGGAAAGAAACACCATATCTAAGAAGTCACTCCCTGTTTCTCTCCTTTTTCCCTCCTCTGGTAACTCCTAGTTTGCTTTCTCTATTTATTTATCTATTCTGTATAATTCATATACATAAAATCGTGTAGAATATGACCTTTGGTGTCTGGCTACTTATACTTAGCAAAATATTTTTGAGGTTTGTCCTCACTGATACATGTTATAATATGTATTAGCATTTCATTCCTTTTTGTGGCTGAATAATATATAATTATTTAGATACACTACACCTTATCCACTCATCACTTGATGGACATTTGAGTTGTTCCATCAGTTGTAAATAGCATGATTAATAGTACAAGTATTTGTTTGAATACCTGCTTTCAGTTCCTTTGGGTATATAACAGGAGTTGAATTGCTTGTCATTATGGTGGTTCTGTGTTTAGTGTTTCAAAGAACTGCTGAACTGCTTTCCAGGAGCATTTGTACTGTTTTACTATCCCAATAGCACTGTATAGGGGTTCCAGTTTCTCTACAACCTTGCCCAATGTTGTTTTTTTCTTTCAAGTTTTTAAAATTGTTGTTCTAATAAGTGTAAAGTTGTATATCACTGTGGTTATTTGTATTTTGGAAGTAATAATGATGTTGAGTGGTTGTTGGCCATTTGTATATTTTCTTGCTGAAATGTTACTTAAACCTGTTGCCTATTTTAATTGCATTCTTTCCTTTTTAGTTAAGTTATAAGAATTGCTAATGTATTCTGGGTACTTAACTTTTATCAGATATATGATTTGCAAATGTTTTATTGAATTCTGTCAATTTCCTGTGATACCTTAAAGGTCCGTTCAGTTTTGGACACTGAGTTTGAGTTCACTGTAGAACATTAAGGTAGACCTGTTTTTCTGTCATAAGAAATAGGCTTATACTGTAAGAGGTATTTTATAGCTAAAGATTTTTTTAAAATGTTACTGGAGATTGAACCTAGGGGCTTTGCACTGAGCCATATCCCTAGCCCTTTTTTATTTTTTGAGACTGGGTCTCTATGAGTTACTTGTCCAGGTTTGGCTTGAACTTGTAGTCTTCTTGTGTCAGGCATATGCCAGTAGACCTGACAAAATTGGAGATGTGGGTAAAAGTAAAGAACAAAAGCAATCAGTAACATTTAAGCAGGAATCCAGGAAGAGAAAACCAGCTAAAGGATCTATAGACAAATGGTCACAGCAGTCCAAGGAAAACCAAGACCGTGTAGAACAGATTAAAAAGTGGAGATTCTCAAAGAGGTAGTGATCTGTGGTGTTGTCAGATGAAACAGGCAGTTTCAGTGAGGTGAGGATCAAAATTTAACTTGTTCATTGGATTTAGTTAATTTGAGAGGTCATTGAATGTTTATGAGGTTGATTTTAATAAAGATGACACAGAAGTTCAACTGTACTGGATTAAAGATTGAGTAGAAATGAGGAAGGGGAGAACAGTGTTTGAGTTATTCTTTCAAGAAATTTGCTGACAAGGAGAAGAAGAAAGGGATTGGACTAAAAATACTAGATTATTTTGGTTCCAAGAGAGGGCATTTTTAAGTGTGAGATATTTGAACTTTGTAGTCGGAGAGGGAGTGCTAAAAATAGAGGACTTCTCCTACCATACAGTTAGTTTCCTGCCATGCCTCTGTATCTTTACAAATGCTATTTACTCTGCTTAGAAGGCTTTTTCCACTTAAGTCCACCTGAGTAAGCTTTTTCAACAAAGGCATTTTAACAGTCAGAAGGAAATAGTAATTTTAGTATGGTGACAGTTTCTATACTTAGAAAAGTTTCAAAATATTTTCTATGACTTTTTTTAGTAGGCTACTCAGGCTAATTATATTTAAGCTGTAGTTCATGCAGTCAGACTGGCTGAATGAGGAGCTTGGCAACTCCACTTCTCAGAGCAGTGATAAAAGTGGATAAAGTTGTCTAAAGCATCCATTTCAGGACTTTGGAAAGTGACCAAAATCAGACAACAAATTGAGGAGTGATTTATTCAAGAAAAAGGCACCTCACAGTGGAGTCAGCGATGTTTTGGACCCTGAGGCTATTCCTATTTTGCTTGTTCAGATTGCTGATTACTGTTGCAGAGGTTTTATGAGGGTGGACCAAACTGTGAAAATCAGTTTTGCTTTTGCTCATGCAGCGGTCTCACTTGACTTGATGTTGAGTATGGAAAAAAACCCATGTTCTGGAGTGTTATTGGAAAAGTGGTGATTTTTGTAGCAAGAGAATGGGAAGGGTATCGTCAGATTACAATCTGGTTGGAAAAGCTATAGATTAGCTAGGATTGTAACAGGGACATCTGAATGAGTGGATCTTCATAAAATTGTAAGTGTAGCTGGTCGTTTGGAAAGACAAGACAGTGCACACACTCAGGAGAGATAGAGAGGGCCTTGACAATGGAGCTGTGTTTCCAGAATCTTGTCTCTGACATGGTTGTGCTTCTCTATTTTCTATTGTATAGAAGGATTCTTTGTTTCAGGTGTAGTAAATAACTGAAGCCTGATTATCCCACAGCTGAGTCTTTAGTCTTGTCAGCAAGTGGTTGCTCCTTGGCTACAAGTCTAGAAGTCTAGACTTCCCCTCTATCTGGCCATATCATTGCTATACTGGATTATTGATACCCTGAAGGTTGTCTCCTGCCTTTTATGCTCGTCCCTTCCTTATAGTCTGTATTTCACACACCTGCTATCTTTCTAAAATTTTTTTACATTATTTTACTTCTTTTCTTAAAATCGTTTGGTGGCTTCTTATTTCATAAGCTTAGTTCACTAAGCCCAGATTCTTTTGTTACAATGAGTTCAGTGAGACAGGCACTCACAAGAGACCGAAAATGCAGGAAAACAAGCAAAGCTTTATTCAATAGCTGGCAATGGACAGTCTCTGGCAAGGAGCCAGAGATGTCTGCCTCAGTCTGGGGTCTGCCTCCAGTTTAAATACCTTTTTTGGGTTTCCATAGTAACCATACAACCACATTAGCTCATTCTTGGGAATTTTACAAGAATGCCTTAGAATTGTCACCAGAAGTGGCTGGTTGTGTGATGGTCAGGTAGACCTACTGTATCAGTCAGGGTTTTACTAGAGAAACAGATATAACACAAGATAATACAAATTATAAGAAATTACAAGATTGGCTTAGGACGGTCAGCCACAGAGTTGGATGAGGAAGCGTGCAGAGGGTGTCTGCACACTGGAGACTGAAGGATTCAGTCCAAGGTCT